TTCTTTCAATTTGGAGTCAGAGGACGGATACTACCTACACCAGATTGCCAATAAACTCAGAAGAAACTCAGGTTTCAATGGAAAAGAAGTAACAGAAAAGGTTGGATTGATACATCAGCAACAGAGGTAGCATAAGACAGAGGTAAAAACAATAACCTGGGGCTTTGACTGGGTATCCTTTGCTATCAGCGTATTTCCATAGTATACAACATTCTCTCCAAAAGTAACGTCCATGTTTTGAACGTTTTCGAAAAACACACCTGGAAGTGACGGCGATAAAGTCTCAAAAAATATACTGCAAGGTTTTATTGGAATGATTTCTGTAGTATGTGACCAAATAATAAGTAAGTACCTGGACCAAACAGATGTTCGAAGATCTTATAATGATTGAGCACAGCTAATGTTTCGAAGTTCGTAGTGTCAGGATCAACAATGACTGAAACAGAAAACATCAAAGAAGACAAACTCTCACATTTTATGTGAGTAAAATGTTGAAACGATGCTGGCAGTGAAAGCGGGCTCACTGAACAGCTTTTTTATGACGAAGATTTTTAAGAAGCATGAAAACCCACAAAAACAGTATCTATCCGCACTTACGTTTCATTTTTCTTGCTTGGCGCTCCAATTCTTCGCGCTGTGCATCAGTCTTCGGTACAGCAATTTTCTGCTGTCGTGAAGCAAATCCAATGTTACATGGTGCAGCTTTCTGCTTTTCTAAAAATACAAACTTCAAAGATAGAACCAGATTGGCTGAGGTATTTAGACCAGGCAAGGATACCTTTATCCAAAAATTCTCCCAGCGAATAGAGATGCTGCGTAGGATCGATGATATGGAATTTAGGAACTTCTTCAGGCTTGTCAATTCGGCCCTTATACCATTTATCAATCTCATAGAATCTGAAAGTGCGTTGCGGAGATGGAATTACAATTCAATGAGGAACTTACCTGTTAGGATAGAATGCTGCTGGTCCTGCCCAAGCAATCATTCTTGGCCGCATAGGCCGGTCAATGACCGGAGTTCTTCGAGCTCGATGAGCTTTCGGAACAAGTCTAGCGTACTGTTTAGCACTCATCTGTAAATAAGAGATTAATGCAAGCCAGATGAATTGTGGCACTTGACAATCGAAAT